CTAACAAGCATCACATTGCTATATACAAATGTTAAAAAGACCAATTCTTTCCGACTGACTTTTTAAATTGAAATTTTAAAAATAGCTATTATTTTATTTATTAAATGAACAATAATAATGAAGTCGAGCTACTAACAAAGACAACCGATAGATAAATAAAACAGTTGTGTGGCAACTTTCATATAAGCTTGAAACTAGAAATGTAACGCCCATTGTTTATTACAAAAGGAAAAGGCTTTCAATACTTTTGGTAACTTTTTGGTAATATTTTTTAAAAATTTTGGTAAAATTTTTTCTAAGTGTGTAGCAACCGTGGTTATTGTATTTGATACAGAATTTCGCTCTTCGTGCTCTTGCAAATTTGGTATAGTGCATTTTTTTTTGTGCATTTATATATACATTTTATGTATAATTCTTATAGGCCTGTGTGCAGCTCTCAAGAAAAGCAAAAACTCCATATAAAATGACGTACAAGAAATGGCTAAGAAATTTTCTTGAGTCAAATTTCCTTCAGGCAGTACGCAGTTCTTAAGGAATTTGCTACGCTTTCTACTACGGTTTTCTAAAGTTTTTTGTGAAAAAAGAGCACAAGGCAACCCAGGTTTGCAACAGAAATATATGCCCGTTTTATTATTTCTTGAGGAAAGAGTGAGGCAACAGGCTGTGAAGTATCAAAAATGTCAAAATTCCTTGGACACACAAACGAAATAATGGCAAATTTTTCTTGACCGTTTTCTTAAGAGCTGCATACAGGCCTTATGCTGGAAATCTTGACAGAAAGTTTGTGTCATATCTCCGCGGAACGAAATTAATCGGTTTACGCTTGAACAACGTTGCAACGTTGCGAATGCAAACGAAATGGACAACGATTTTGCTCGAAATATTATCTTTCTGACGAAGCGAGGCTAAAGGATTTTTTGTAGTGGCAAATTGAAGACATGGACCCAGATGATCTTTGATTTCAGCAGGATGCCGATTTGTCGCCGTTTCTGTGTAGGGTGCCGTGAAGAATCGATGTTATGTGAACAATCCATTAACAATTCGTGTCCTTAATGCGATTATCCAGCAAGCCATTCGTGAGATAGAGCCAGAAACTGCCACCAAGGTCTTGGAAAACCGGGTTAACAGTAGTGCGATTCACTAACTTTTAACAGTGCGACTTGTCGAGTTGTAAGCTAACAATTTTTGTTGTTTGCAGTAAAGATTGTGCGATTCACTAACTGTGCTTCCGCTAATGGGCACAAATGCGTCGCGTATGCCAAGGCGCTGGTGTGAGCACAAAGTTCACAAGCATTTTATATCGAAGAAAATGCGCAACACCCTCCACAAAAAAAGATTCTAAAAAATCAACGGTAACTTTTAGCGACTTGAACCTTGCATTTTATTAGACTAAAATTGAAAGGGCTACAAAACTGCATACCCGAAAATCTTATAAAGATTCTGAATAAAATTTAGTTTTGATTGATTTTTGTGAATTTTGTACCAGCTTTGAAGCTTTTATTTATGTGGTTTCTGTTGTTATATAGTAGATGGAACTATTAAAAATGAAGTTATTAAAAATAAATAAATGCACATTAGTAGCAAACAACATAATTTTGAATTTTGCTGCCATATTTTACTCGCAGGTGTAAACAAAAGTTTGCAAAAAACATTAACATGAAAAAGATTGTTAATATTTAAAAAAAATCACTTTGCACATTTTGTACATATTTATTTTCAAGACTGATTTTATTATGCTAGTGTCATGATGATTAATAAAGAAATATTTAAATATGCACATATACAGCGTGGCGACGAATTACTGTTACCCAGGTTTTTTTGAGAAATAAAAGGGTCCTTTATAGATTTTGCGAAAAAAGTATTTTATTGTTAATTTTCCACAGATTTTACTGTAGTTGTATTAATTAGTTTTTAAATTTTAATCCTTATTTACATTTGCCAACAGTGTAAACTTTGAGAGAAAAGTTCGTTTGGCACGCACGTATTAAATTGAAAACTTTAATTATTCAATTCTTTTAAATTCAAGGCATATTCAGTTCCTGTAAGATTAAAAAATAGACTTATCACCTTTTAACTTCCAGTTTTCTATATTTGTTTTACACCCTATTGGAAAATTATAACCGGAACACATATATACCTTGTTTATACCTACCCAAGAACCGCATTGACAAAAGCTGATTTGCCTCAACACATATTTCTTTCAAACATTTATACCTTTGTCGTTATGGCGCACTCGCTGAAACCGTATTCAAAAGTAAACAAAATTTGTTATTTTTATTCGATATTTCTTAAATAATTAATTTGCACGGTGTACCGAAATGGAAGCGAACAAGAATTCAAATTTGTTATAATAATAATTCAAATTTAAAACGGGCTGTATTTGTATTATATATTATATGTATGTATTATGTATTTACAAATTATTTAGGGGCCTATATTTTCTCAAAATACAATAAAAAACAATATCTAATAAATATTTTGGATTTATTAATAAAAATACATAAAAAAAAAAAAAAAAAAATGTTTAAGTAAAAGTTTTAGAAAATTTTATTTTATTCGGAGTCAGTGCCATCCGATTCGCTGTTAACATCCGAATCCTCTTCCTCATCATCAATATCTTCAACAATATTGTCGTCCGACCTATTTAAGTTCGTTGCAGCAATCAAAATGGGTTTTGCCTCGGCGGAATATGGCAAGATTTTCTTTTTATTCTTTGGCCGACTCGAGCTGAGAGAGGATCGGATCTTAAAAGTAATCTATTTAAAATGTCTCTGTTGCACTCAGTCCTCGAAAATTTTCTTGCAAAGTCTACCCGATATTTGCGAATAAGCTTATTTCGCGCCTCAGCGGCTTCCTCGGACAATTGTCTAATTGGCAGAATTGCTTCTGCCATCACTTGCGCTCCGTGTATCAGAATTTTGTGGACTGTAGGCGACATTGGATGCCAACCGTATAATTCCACATACAGTTTGGCAGTGTCTTGGGCATAATCATAAAATTTTTGGTGATCAACCTCATGGCCACTTGAGATTACCTCAAGAATCACTTTAAACTTATTGATTAATTCCAAGTTGATGCCGGTAATGCGAGAAGAGCATTCTGCATTTTGGAAAAATCTCCTGGACGTATTCCCGTCATTGCTATTTCCAAAGCCAGCTTTAGGAACATCAACAAGTAGACCCATTTCTTCTCTGAGAGATTTTTGTAATTTCTCTTTTGTTTCTTTAACAATCTTTTTCTCTTCCGGTGTACGGGCTTGCCACTTCTGGAGGAGTTGTTTATATGCTAAATCAGCAGTGTCTAAAAAAAAGGCGTATTCTGGAATGGAGTACTGAGAGCGCAAACTTTAGGGCTTCCTTTTTAACGGCATCTTTCTCTTGTTTGTTAAAATCCTTTGATGTCTGGCCGCATATATAACATCGCATAGTTGATACAGTGTCCGTTGCGCAGTTGCAGACCTTTCCGTCTACCATTGTCAGCAAAATATTGTGACAGATTTTTAGCTTGATTTTCGACGTATTATAAAAGAAAAAATTTAAGAAAAAAATACATTTGGAAAAATTTTGCCTTTGACTAAAAAAAAAATTTAAAAAGGTTGGGGTGGGCCGGGGGGAGATTTTATTTTTCATTCAGATAGGCAAAGGTTCAAACTTTATTACCACATTTTTAATGTAAGGCGACAAAGCCCGACCGACACATAAACAAAAACACTATTGTTTTAAACTTTTGTTAAAAACACCACGTTTTTAAGAAGGAAATTTTCAACATATGTAAGTCTAAATACGGAACTTTGACGAGAAATTAACTGTAACATAATTTTATACAAAATACATACCTTCAACATCCATATTCAATACGAATTTTTCTGGTAATTCACCATACGAAGACATATTAACACAGAGAAATATGTAAAATAATCAAAAGCGCCGAGAACAAAGACACGCGTTGCACACAAAGGCTAGGTTCCGACTGATTATGTGGCCAGACGCAGTAAAACATGCGGGTTTGTGAGCTGGGGGGCGGTGAACCGGTCATCGTACTTATTTAAACATGCATTGTTTGTGTCATTTTATGAATTTTAGGAAAACCACTTTTGACCGGTTTTTTGCCTCAAATAACCCTTAGTGCGATGTGAGAAATAAAAAAGCGATTTGAAAATAAATTCGAGTCAATAAACTTTCGAATTTCTGAGCGTATTGAAAGTTGGTTTATGCTTCCGTTTTGAATCACAGCGAACTGGGTCAAAGCGCTTTATGTGTTGGTATAAACAAGGTAATAGACAAGTTTTAACAAACTATATTTTTTTTTGTTATTTAATTTATATTACTTGTTTTAATAGTGTATTCTGCACCTAAAACCGTCGTCGTCAAATTAGCGGCCTTTGTTATCGTTAACGACAACAGCTGATTTCGCTCTAACGAATGTTGTAACAGAAACGTTTGCTGAATAGCTAAATTGTTAAAATTGTCGTCTACTTAGCTGTCTTAACAATAACAAGAGTTGTTGGAATCGCGTAGTGAATCGCACCACAGGATGCGTTACTGCGAAGCCAGCCGACGCGGCCACATGAATTAAATCGTGTCCGATAAATAATAGAAATGTTTGCTCTTTCGAATAAACCAATAATATATATATCGGGAAAATTTCTTTTTGTTCACTTTTTTGAACTTTCAAAAAGAAACCACTGCAGAGACCATCCTGTATATTAAAATATGAAGCAGAACCTGCGAACAATGAAACATGCAATACTAGTTAAAGTAATAAATGCTTCAAAGAGAAGCAGAAATGTATATAATAATCTTATATTTTTTTTTCGGATATCATTGTTGTTTCAACATCTGGTTAAAAATTCAACATTATTCCTGCAGATGTTTCGTTTTAAATTATTCATACCATTATTTCCTATGTTTTTTTTCAGTTAGACTAATCGTTCAGCGCTATTTCATTAGTAACTCGGTTTCTGATTTTCCTATTCTAATACAACTATCTTTTAATTTCAGAATGGCTGGACGATAAGAATGAAACACGAAGAAATTTAAACAAAAATTCCATTTGGAATAACTTCAGTGGTTCGACACATGCGTATACAACCGGTCGTCGGCACATTGATTCAAATTTAAATAAGATTCGTCCAAAAGGCCCCAGTCAAACATTGAAGGTATACATACATAAATTAGATTTTGAGCTAAACAATTTTGGAAACTCTAAATGTATTTCGTTTTAGCAACCCGGAAAATTAAATATGAAAAACTTTCAACTAGTAAGCGATGCTGTAGCCAAAATGAATTTCGGGGGAGACACTTTTTTACCCACTTCAGAAGTTGATAAATGTTCTAAACGTTATACTCACTTTAATCATACTCAATTGGATTGCGACGAAGATGACTCGGAAGAGTTGGCTGAATATGAGCAGATTTATGAAAATGAAGGTATTATTTTGTTATTGATTTCGAAATTTGTAACTAATTAGGTTGTTTTTTATATTTGAAGACTGCACTGAGTCTGACAGCTGTGCAAGTTCAACTGAACGGAAGGTGCGCCAGCAAAACAGTTCATACTACAAACTTAATAAAAAAACACCAACAAACAAAAAAACCAAGAAAAAAAAGATTGCTATTCCTGTGCAAACACCGAGAGTTCCATTGTTTGGGTCTTATGTAAGCCCACCGGAGATTCCTCAGCACTATCATAGAACTGCAACTGATACTAGTAGGGCAAATCTTTGATATAATTTTTAGCATAAGATAATATATTTTCTTATAGAAAAGCCCGGCGAACATTGCTCAAATGAACTCGTTAAAAATGATAAATCACCAGATGTAGGAAAATATATACTTTCTTTACTTTGCTATTTTCTAATTTTGTTCAACTTTTATAGTATTCCATGGTTCCTGAAAGTATTAATTTGTATGGGACAGAAAATTTGCCTGAGTTTAATATGAATCCGAAATCTTTGAAAGACTTTGAAAAAACGGAAAAACGGCGACTGAAGGAAGATAATGCCAGACTCCGGAAATTGCAAGAAAAGGAAAAGGAACAAGAAAAGAAACACAAAAGGAAGTTGAAGCAAGCATTAAAAGGATTATCAGATAACACAGAATCTCATTTTGGAAAGCTATTAATCTCAGAGAAAGATGAAATTCCTACTTTTCTTATAAGATGTGTTGAATTTATTGAAAAAGAAGGACTTGACTCTGAAGGAATTTATAGAGTTCCAGGTAGTCGGGCACATGTCGATTTGCTTTTTCAAAAATTCGAAGAAGGTTAGTTTACATTTAGGTATATTATAATCACCCTTCCAACCCTTAAATTTTAAGAAAACGTCATACATAGCTTTCTTTAAAGTGCTGCATCTTGGAAACTTTTTAAAGAAAATTAATGGAAAAGATGTGGGAAAATTTTAGTGAAAATCGACACGAAAAAAAAAATTGGGGGGTATTTTGATTCTAAAAGTGAAGACCCCAACTCGCGCACTCTTATAGTTTTTAAGTAATTTGTTGTTAAAGTTGCGAAATTCACCAAATATGTTTTTGTTGGATTTGCTTCGTTGGATTCGTTTATTTCATGGCAACACTTTTTAATTTATATAAAAATATACGATAAAAACAAAGTAAGAGATACAGTTGCGGTCAAAATAATAGCAGCAAAATTCAAAATTATGTTGTTGGCAACTTATCTTTATTTATTTATTGCTAATAATTTTCATTTAAAATATGACCCATATATTTATATCAGATACCATAAAATATATATAAAAGTTTAAAAGCTTGCAGAAAGTTCACAAAAATTAATTAAACTTTAAAAATTTTCATAAAAATTTCCATATTTTTAGTAAGATTTCCTAGAAAGATTTAGACTATGCGGTTTTATAGCCCATTCAATTTGAGTGCAATAAAGTGCAAGTTTCAAGTCGCTAAAGATTACAATTAATTTTTTAGATTTTTTTGTGGAGGGTGTTTCGCATTTTCTTCCATATAAAAGTCAGTTATGTTCATGCATTATATGGAATAAAATTCGCAACACCCTCCACAAGGAAAATTCTAAGAAATCAACGGTAATTTTTAGCAATATTTCTCTTACAGAGTTGCATGCAATAATGCTTGCTAATGACTAGGGCTCGGAATCTTATGCACCAAAAAGTCGAAAATATGCGCATATAATATGCACTCAAAAGTCAGAAATATGCGCCATAAACAAGTGAAATATCCAATTAAAAATATTTTTCTAATATTTTATTGCTGGAACAAAAATAAATAACACATGTGTTTTAACAAGAAAATAACGAAAACAATTCACTTCAAAATACAATACATATTTATGGATGAAATTAGCTTATAATCAAACAGTCAGATACAATCTTATGTAAAGAGATAGTTGAGAAAGTTTGCCATTTTGATTCCACAACTCGTGCAACCTACAGCCATTTGGCGGCTTTAATGAATTTCAGTAGTCATACAGAAAGAGCCAGCTTCACTCTAAAACATTCTGCAGTAATGGTTTGCAGAGTGTCTTATGCAAATTAAACAAGTCCAATGAAAGAGGATTTAAATAGCTTTAAAACTGAAATGTCTAAAAGAGGAAAGCCACACATTGAAAAATATTTCAATAAAAAATGTTAATTAATTACCATAGAACAAACATTGGGTCAGGTATGTATTTACATGAATTTCTTTAGTATTAAGTTATAAAAAAATTATAAATAGAATCGGTAACCTTCGTTCATTATTTCTGTTTACAAGCTATTTCAGTCCTCTTTCATATGATACCAAATTTGTTTAATTTGGATAAGCGGTTTCTTTATTATCCGGATAGGACATTTATTTCGGAATAAAAAATATTATGCCAAATTTAACTCGGAAAAAATAACTGTTATTTTCGGTCCCTGGAATATTGTGCAAGTGCACAGACGTATATCTAACCAGTCACAGAAGAAAGCATTAAAAGTTTCAAAAACTAAAATCGAAAAACGCTGATGACGTGACAAATTCCGAAACAACCAAACGAATGAGAATGAAGAATTCCTTCGAGAAAAACGGTGTTTAAACAACGATTGTGCCATGATGCTAGATTGTGAAGATGAAAGTCAGGAGGATACATCTGACATTTGCGGCCCCGATGAAATTCTCAAAAAGTAATTATAACACCGCAATAAAAATAAATAAATATAACTGAAAGTCCCCTCAACTGATGCAGTGTCAATCGAAAAGAATTTACAATTTTGCCAAGTTTCAAGTTTTTGAAGTTTGTCGCCTCGAGCAAGTAGTTATATAGTGGCGCAGGTTTGATTTACGACCTTTCAAAAAGTTTTTATTAAATACAATGTTCCAATTTTTAAATTCAAGTACTAAAAAAAAACAATTCCGCATTCGCATCCGCGGATGTCTAAAATTCCACATTCGCAACATCCCTACTTATAATATACACTGCCGACAGTTTTACGAACAATATGAGTTAAAATATGTTATGAGTAATCCATTGAGAAAGGAGAGAGAAGGTAGCAAGCTTAAGAATGCGTTTAAAGGAATGTGTGCCACTAGATTTCATTAATGAGTATTTCAAATATTGATAGAATCTCCAGTTTAAATCGAAAAAGATTAATTAGTAAATATCTAACATATGTATATATTTTGATCTGGAAAATTGGTGTCTTAGAGACTACACGTCAGTAAAATAGGGAAATTTCGGTCAAGTCAGTATCAGAGGGTTAAAATAGGATTAAAGTAATTGACCCGTAGTCATATATAAAATAAAGTCCACTGTGAAGCTAGTAGCAGCTCTTTTTACAGCAATCGCATTGGAAGCATGCAGCACCTCTTTCTCTCTTTATTCTTACCCCATTGGAAGAGGGCCTCGGCTGTACGAATTTGTTGTAAGGTCGGGAGTTGAAGACTTTCTTCCCGTCGTAAGCAGATTTCCCATGTGAGCTTGCAACAAAACTCAATTCTGCCATTTCCTTGAAGGCCTTTAATTTTTAATTCTTTTATACGTGGCGCATTAATGTAAAAAAATTTATAATTAAAGCCCGTAAAAATACGGAACAGAACTTTTTCAATTAAGTTTCGTTAAACAGTTTCCAAGGGAAAATTTTCCAAAACGGATCCAGGCTTTGGAAAAAACAAAATATTAGGGAGTATAGAGGAGCTTTTTCAGATTCTAAATCTGCAGACCCCACCCTCCGGAGGCTTATAGTTTCTAAGTAATTCGCATTTAAAGTTGCGAAAAATACCGAATTCAACCTCATTTTTTCCCTTGTACACCAACTGAACTGAAATGTCGGTGCTGCCATACATACTAAAAAATCAAAAAAAAAAAAAAACGGAAACAATGAAAAAATGCACATACGCCGCGAAAATTTTTAATAAAAAATCGCGCGATTTTTAATTACAAATTTTGATTATTTATTGAAGTATCGATTTTATAATAAAAAGCGCCGTGGTCGAAAATTTTTCATAAAAAATCGCGCGATTTTTAATTAAAAATTTTCATTATTTATCGAAGTATCGATTTTATAATAAAAAGCGCCGCAGGCGAAAATTTTTAATAACAAATCGCGCGATTTTTTATTAAAAATTTTCATTATTTATCGAAGTATCGATTTTATAATAAAAAGCCCAGCAGGCGAAAATTTTGGATCAAAAACGAAAATGATATGGTTTATAGTTGTATTTTATAGCTTCGAGAAGTATGGCAGCACACATTTGCTCTTACTGTCGGCCATTGTTATTTCTGTTTGTTTGTGAAAAGTGCAAAAACGAGTGAACGGATTTATAAACGCGTTTTAGTTAATTAATTGATGAATATATATGTAAATATTAAAAGTATAAAATACGCACGTGAACATTGAAGATATTGTATATCAACCAAAATACAATTGATAAGTGGCATTTTGTACAAAAATTGGGGGGTGGTAGTGAAGATTATTTAACAACAAATTGCTTAAATACTATTAGCAACTACTTTGTGAGAGTGATACATTCATGTAGAGAAAGCCTCCCCCAACATCCTGACCAAGTTTCATGACTAAATTCCATATACTTTCGCTGAAATCTCGATTGGTCCCGTTTTGGAAAGCCAACCCGTTTCCAAGATAAGATAAGATAAGTCCCGTGTAAATAGGCAAGCATACGTCATATCGGCAAAATATGCTGCACGTATATTCATATCACCTAGACCTTCAATCTCTTCAACTATGTAATAATAATAATGGATTGACGCTTACACATATGTTAGTGTATGGCCGAGCTTCTCCTCCGATTTGTGAAGTGCGCCTTGATGTTGTAACACAATGAGTAGGGGCCTACGGTTTTACGCCGACTCCTAACTTCGATTGCATTTTAATGAGAAGCTGGTTTCCATGGCAAAAATACAGTCAGAGGTTTGCCATTTCCTGCCGAGGGGCGACCGCTATTACTTAAAAAAAAACTTTTTTTTTATGTTGGTCAGAAACTGGGCTAGAACCCAGGCCATGCGGAATGGTAGCGCGCACTGCTAAACACCACACCACAGCGGCCGCCTATTTATATACAGCGTGTAAAATAAACACTGTCGTAATCAAATAAATAAATAAATAAATAACCTAGATCAGTGGCTACCAACCTTTTCCATGTGGTGACACACCTTCCCTTATCGTAATAACTCCACGATCCATCGGTCCATGGTCGAGTAAAAACCTTTTTGGTATCGCATCCCTACTAATATATATATAATTTACCTTTAAATATTGCAAATATATATGCATTGGACTGGCTCTTAAATTTAATTTCCTACCGCCAGGCAGAAAAAGTTTCCTTTTAGCCGGGGATAGTATGAAATTACGTAAAATATGTGGAAAAATAGGTTGTTTTATTTCCAATCCCACCTATGTCACCTATTTTGTTTATAATTGTTTATTTGTATCTTCTTTTTGTTTGTTAATTTTAAAAATAAATATTCGCACCTGAGGATGCTAAGGAGCGAAACGTAGAGCAAGCAGTGAAGGAAACACGTTTGTTTTACTTACACAAATTACCAATTAAGCAAAAATAGCTCATCAGAAAGAGTGAAACTTTTCCAATTAGCTTAATATAATGCCTGATTTCTAAAAATGTTGTTTCTAGAAAGCTACCAGAATCCAAAATCAATACATAGACACCATTTTATTTTTTAGAAAAATAATATGATTACAGTTGAAAAAAATGTCGGGCGGGACATTCTAACTCGTTTTTGCTCGTTTTTTAATATCTCTTTAACCATTAATTTGACAAGTTTCAAAACGTTAACACTG